AGCCAATAGAATACATGTTCTTGCACAGGAACAGGAAGCTCAAGTGCAAAGCTCAAGAGAAGGTATAAAAACTGCCCACTCTCAACTCCATTTTCTCAGCTGCACCATAAACACTGGCAGGTCTGTTCATCATTAAACCATCTTTCCAATCAGCCTCCATGTTTCCAGTGTCTTTCTCCCCACTTGGAACTGAACCAGGTCCCTATTTCTTCTAACAGTAATTATAAATGCTGTAAAGAAAATTGAAAGCTACTTCTTCATATATTTTTCTTTCTTTTCTATTTTTCTTTTATCCTTTTTTCTTTTTATTTGTTTTTGCAGGTTAGCTTTCTCTTCTATGACTTCCTTTTTCTTTTTCCCTTCTTATTTTATTTTGGTTTCTGGCAATTTTTTACTTTTGTTTTTAAAATTGTAAATAAAATGATATTGAAAAATTAAATTGAAAAAAAAATCTAATAACTTTTTATATGTTGAGGAAAAGAAAATTAAATTCTTTTTCAGAGAGCTATATTTCCCCTGGCATAAAGACAGAAACTTCTTTTATTTTTGAAATGCTATTTTTTCTTGCTTTGTCCTCCACACTTTACCTTAACTGCTGTAGCAATTGCCCTATTTCAGTTCACAAAGAAAACAGAACACAAAAAAATCTATCACTCTGAAAACCTGCCAACTTCTAGAAGTACTTGCTAAGTCTTTATTTTCTCTCTTCACTCTAGTTACTTTGCAAAGAGAGGAGCTATTCTTGTAACCCATGATTCCCAAGTATACTAAGAATATTTGGTAAAAGGTTTTGTCAAAAGCTTTTTGAAGAGTTGAAATACAGCTAGCTAGAGGCGTTCTATCCCCCGCTCTCAAGTGACAACTGTTCTCTCCCATTTTTTTCACCCTCTCCAGGTGCAGCAAGTGACAAACTTAAGGGATGAGGATTGGAGTCACTATCAGCAGCCACCCCTTAATCTATGGAGGGTCAGGGTAACAAGCTTCTCAATCCCACTTGAAACCCCTCTTAACAGGTAGGAGGAAATCACCTGGCCTGGGCAATGAGGCAGTAGCACATTTGGTTAGGTTTATGAGCCATAGAGCCTATGGTCACCTGCTAGTTAGTCATACATAATCCATCAGCTAGGCAGGACAGTATGCCTCTCCCATGTTTCACAGTGAAGCCAGGAATGATTTGTTCTTTCTTTCCTCAGTTTTTGCTGTCCCAGAAAAATGAAATATCCTAGGAAATATTGAAAAGGCAGAATATTTCTCTGTATGTGAAAAGAAAGAAACATGTTTTAAAAGACAGAATAGCTGCCTGTAGCTTCCTGCCCAACCCCACTTTGTCAATGGGCCATTAAGAAGGCCAAGCTAGTCCACTTTACATAATAAAGGCTTCTCCACTTCAGCTGAATGGGGATGGGATTAAGGCATGATTAGCCTTTACCCACTTATCACATAGCATCTGAGAACTCAACCAAACCTGGATTCAAAACACAGCCTAGAAAGTTGCCCCTGCATGGCCCCATGGAAGTCTGACAACCAATCAGAATGCATTTCTTACACAGGAACAGGAAACAGAGAGGTGGGAGGCCCCTCCCTCAGCCCTTCTCTTCTTCTCCACCAACATTGAAGCATATGATCACCTTTTCTGTTCAGGACTCAAGCCATGTGGCCCTGTCCACCAATAAAACATCTTTCCAAGCAGCCTCCATGTCTCCAGTGTCTTTTCTCCACTTGAAGCCGAACCTAGAAGGACATTTCTTTCATCAGACTGCATGTCCTTTTGCATATCCTTTCAGAAAAAGAAGTAGGGACTGGACCAGCCATAGCAAGTGGAGCAGACACAAAAGATTGATAGAAATAGTAGGCTGAGGATTACCATGTTTGGCAGAGTGTAGGGAAGGAGAGGAGGGAGGGAAGAGCCCAGTTTAGGGGAACTTCACATTTCTACAATCTCCTCACAAGGCTTGTTTAACTTTGATTTGGAATTGCTTTTATTGTGACATGTGACTGTTTGCTCTTATTATTATTTGCCATATTTGTGCATGTCTCTTTTGCAAATCTGCTTCATTTCAAAATGTATCAGAATGATCTCTGTCCTGGTTATGCTTTTGCAAGTCATTCAATTGTTTTATTATTTTGCAAATGGAATTTAAATAAACTTGCAAGTTCAGGTGAACAATATATTCTGCTTGGTTGGCAGTTGGGTTCATGCACTAATCCACAGTTTCTAATTTTCAGGCTCTATTAGCTCATGCAATCCATACCGTAATATATTCAAAACAGATTAACTGAAAGAGAATAAGAAGTGCACACACCAAATAGATTGAAATGACTCATGAAACCAAATGATCCTGACAAGAATGAATTTATTGGAAGAGCATATACCGTATTTTTTGAAGTGTAAGACACACCGGAGTATAAGACGCACCAAGATTTTGAAGAGGCAAATTTTTAAAAAAAGTTTTTGCTGTCTGCAGACCTCCCCAAAACAGCCTGTTTTTCACAAAAAATGTGCCCATTTTTTGTCAAAAATAGGGCATGAATAGCCTTTAGGAGGCTTATAGAGTGCTCCTGGGAGGTGCCCTGCCAAAAACAAGCAAAAATGGCCAATTTTTGTGAAAAATGGGCCTGTTTTTTGTCCAAAAAAAAAAAAGGACATGCATAGCTATTAGGAGGCTTATAGAGTGTTCTTGGGGGCTGAGGGGGGGCAAAACAGTCCATTTTCCAGTCATTTCTGCACTCCCCAGCCCCCAGGAGCACTCTGGAAGCCTCCTAAAGGCTATGCACAGCCATTTTGGTGAAGGGGCAGGGTTTTGAGAGGCCAAAATGCTGTATTCAGTGTATAAGACGCACCCAGATTTTCAGCCTCTTTTTTGAGGGAAAAAGGTGCATCTTAGACTTTGAAAAATACAGTAGGTAGAAATAGGTAAGGGGCTTAAATTAGGCATTATTATATTATACCAGTGTCTTATCATTTTGCACTGACCCACCAATGTATTTCTGATTCCAATATCACATATTATTAGCCTATAAAAGCAGATCACAGTTTGATACTATGATATCTGAAGAAATACTTCTTCCCATTTATTCCCAAATCCCAAAGTTACCTTCTGGGACCTCTCCCTGGTAATCTCAGTGTTGCCCTCTCACTCCAGAATGGTCTCTCTAAGTCATGTCTAGCCCTCCTTTCCCCTCCCCTCTGCCTCCCCCTCCCCCCTTTTGTCTCCAGAAAAATCTTAGAGGAAGAGGGTTATTCTAATACAGGAGTAATTATTCTTCAGTATCCAGATTCTAGACTATAAGCATGACCCCCCCAACCCCCCCCCAAAAAAAAATATCTGATAGGATTGTCAATATAATATAATGACAAGAAGATCGGTTCCTCAGTTGGACAGTTTATCACTCTCTTTCTCTCTCTCTGGGTAATAACAAAATAGTTTCCTCAAATTGATGCATCTCATATCCAATTACAATGAACCACTACTAAATACAATGGGATTTCTATAACATTAATCAAAATGCCAAACATTTTTTTTGTGTGGAGCTACCATAATAGTCCATTCTTTCATATTAGAGCCATTGCTTTGAATCCCAAAAACAAGACAGGGTCTTATTTTCTTTTGATCCCCGAAATAAGCACTTGGTCTTATTTTCGGGGAGGTCTTATCATTTTTGAGGTACAGGAGATGGCAAGCGTGGTCACCTCATGGCTGCTGCTGTGTTGCAATATTTTCAGGGAGGGATTATTTTTTGGGGAGAGCTTATTTTAGCACATGCACTCAAAATCCAAGTTGGGCTTATTGTCTGGGGATGTCTTATTTTCGGGGAAGCAGGATATGCCTTCTCAATCATGGTGTCTGCCTCATGGAAGAGTTTCTACTCTGCAGGATATGGATGGTCCTGACCCCACTGGCTTTCAAGAGAGCTGTGAAGGCCTGGATTTACTCTCAGGCACACTGGGGCCAACCTATTGATGGTGTGGTTAACAGGTGCATGTAGGTTTTATAGAGGTGTTTGCTTCTTGTTTTAAATGGCTTTTTATTTCTAATTATAGTATCATTTTTATTCTTGCATGCCACCCCAACTCCTTCCAGTTGCCAAGTATGGTGGTTCTGGACATGAAACAACCTACCCATATCTCCCTGTAGAACTTTTGCTTCAAGTTCTATGAAGTTGAAGTTTGAATATTCAGAAAATCTTCAGCTCTTGAGGAGCCTGCATCATAACCTGAAGCAAAGGGTTTTCAATTTTTTTAAACATATTTTGAAGAAAAAAGGGGTACCTTCAGTTGTAATATGAGGCAGGCATCTTCCTGATATGAATCTATACAATCTAAGAATTGCAACGTTTCTATTTAATTAAATGTATTGGATTGTTATGCGAGAAGAATAGCAGAATAGCAGAGTTGTATGTGACCTTGGAGGCATTGTAATCCAACTCTCTGCTCAAGCAGAAACCCTATAGCATTTCAGACAATTGCTGTCCAATCTCTTCTTAAAAACTTTCAGTGATGGAGCCTCAACAATTTGGTGAAAGCAAGCCGTTCCACATATTAATTGTTCTAACTGCCAAGAAGTTTCTCCTTATTTCTAGTTGGATCTCTCCTTGATGAGTTTCCATCTGTTACTTCTTGTCTTTCTTCAGGTGCTTTGGAGACTAGGTTGACCCCCTATATTGGAACACAGTTATCATGTCACCTCTAGTCCTTCTCTTCACTAGATTAGAGATACCCAATTCCTGCAACCATTCTTCATATGCTTTAGCTTTTGATCTCCTAATCATCTTTGTTGCTCTTCTCTGCATACTTCCTAGAGTCTCAACATTGTTTTTTTCATATTGTGGCATCAAAAACTGAATGCAATGTTCCTTAAGACCCTGAGAAACCTTATATAGTACAGGATGGTGACCAGTATAGGGCAATATGTAGACCTATTAAGTCTGACTATAACAATGACAGAGAGTGAGGATTACATAAACCCTGCAAGACCCCATGTGGAAAAAAAAGCACTTTGTAAACACCTTCTCTAAGGGACATTTATGTTAGGGTACAAAATCTCAATTGTACCAAATTGTCTTAGAAACTCTAGCAATCTGTAGGTGAGTGGTAAGCAAATGGAAGCCATTTCCTCTGAGATGTCAACATTCAAAATTCTCTTTTTTGATTTTGAATGGCTATACAGCAACTTTTTGTCACTAAATGGAGACAGTTCTGTCAGCTAAGAGAGTTTTCCCCCTATATATTTGGGGACAAATCAGTGGGGAATAGATTTCAAAACAGAAGTCAAGCAGCGCACATAATATTTCTCACCATGTACTTTTCAGCATCCTGGATAGGGAACTATGATTTCGATGAATGTCAAATGGGGAATAAAGTATCAGTTTAGGTTGAATGGTATTAATACCCTGGAATTATTTGAAATAGCCATGGTAACAAGCTCCACAGGAATGTTCACTTACTCATATTTCCATAGAAACAGAATTTTAAAAATGGAAATTACCTTTAATTTAATTCTGTTACTTTTCAATGACAATAACACAATGGCATTTTCCTCAGCTAAATGCACCATATTATATCTTGGCTCCAGAACGGTCTAGAACTTGTTCAGAAATATTGAGCATGCTTCCAAGTTGCTGACTGTGCTATTACTTTTAAGGATAAGTTGAATAAATAGCCTGTAAGATGATAATAAATATGTCCAGCAAATAGGAAAAGAACCTCTCTCTTTTGGCTTTTCTCTCTTTTTACAAACTATTTATGACTTCTACTAACATTTTAGGACTTTGCCTCTCAATCCTTGTTTTTAATAAGAGCTTGGATTGGGAAAGTGAAGACAATTGTGATGAGAAGATTTCCCAGATCTCAATGTAATAAGTAGCAGGGCTGTGTGAATGTTTGAAAGGATATTTCATTTTGATAAGGTTCCTCTTTGGTTTGCAAAGTGACACATCCACACACATTTATTTATTCAAAGCACTCAGACAACTCAGTGTTGTTAGGATTGAGCTGAAGTCTATTCCTTTCCATGCAAACTTGAATAGTAATAGCAAACCAGATGCATTATCACAGTGACTGAAAGCCTGCCGTTGGGTTGATATATATGACCACAGAAAATGGGTATCCTTTTAAGAAAGTCATCGGGATTGAATAAATCTGGTAAGAAGTTTGTCTCCAAACAAATAATGGGAAGGGAAGGACTTCGTGCCAATGATGGTCAGTCCTTGCAAGAGGTAATGATCCAAGTGATAATTGGAAAGACATTAAGTGTCTTGTGGTTTTTGATATAAATGATGGACCTCTAGAATTGGGGATAGCCAGGAAATATTTAGCGGCAAGTATGGGTAGAAACCAGAGGTGGGTTGTTCCTAGTTCGGCTCGGGTTAACCAAACTGGTAGTAACGATGGCAGGAGGCTTCGCCCACCCGCCTGGATGCTTCTGTGCATGTTCAGAAGTATTGCTCGAGTGAGCACATGTGGGAGCACACCTGAACAAGTAGTAAAAAAATTGGCAAGCCTCCACTGGGAGAAACCAAATATAATTTGAAATGGTGATATCGATAGAGGCACAGAGTTAATATAATCAAACTTAGCTAGAG